CACACACACACACACACATGCCAAGCACTCACACACAGATACCCACTCATAGAGAAAGAGAAATACTTGGATACACACTCGGATAGATGGGGGCTGGGGTGGGGGATATGGATAATCGCCAGCAACTGAAGCGGCGGACTGTTGGCAATGGAAAAAACGGTTAACCAAAGACGGCAGCAAAAGCATTTAAAGCCCCCACGTCCCCAATGGAAAATCGTCCAGTGAAAATCAGGAATTCAATGAATAGAAAAATGGGGAAGGGCAACTGCAAAGGGAATATTTGCGATTAGTTGTGAATTTTAGAGCATAGACCTATAAAATGTGTCTCGAAAAATACAAATTTAATTTCTATTTCCAGAAAAAATTCTTCGGAACTCAATACCAGCTATAGATTGAATCGCCCGATTATAAATCCTTCAGATGGGCATCTCTTGGAAGAACCAAGAAGAAAATTTGTCGTATGAATAATATTGATGAATTTTATACCCTGGGGAATAATAGCAATAAAAGTATTTAGTTATTCAGAAATGATAAGAAAATGCCAAGATTTGGTTCTACTTGGAAAGTGTCATATAAAACATAGATGAGAAAGCCTGAGGTTTCAGTCCTTATAATGATTGATACGCTATTCATTTATTGAGCATTAACAACCACAAAATAAAAATGGAATCTTCGGGAACTATCTAGAGAATCTAAAAAGATATAGACATCCCAACAGCATCCAATTAATGTAAATATAAAAGGGCAATAAATATTCAGAGAAACAAAAACAAGGAAATTTCACTGAAAATTTGTCAAGAATTTCCATTAAATATGCCCAACAAACTTGAAAAATTCTTTAGCCCCTAAAACAGAATATCCCTCCGGCAAATGTCATTCAACCTTTTGATATCTACCGATCTGTGGCACCCCCCCACCCTTCTAGAGGCAAGGCGAGTGTAATTAACTAAATAGAATAACCCGCTAGTGGCTCTCAAGGCGATACGAGAGATACTTTTAACCCCATGCGAAGGGCGCAGGCGCAACTAATGAGCAACCCACCACCACAGGGCACCAGGAGCAGCAGCAGCAGAACCACCGACACCACCATGGGCCACCATGTGTTGCCTCCCCCATCCCCACGCCCATCGATGTGTCCTGGCATCCTGCCTGCTGGTCAGTTCTTTGACCAACATTAAATTGAGCTGCGACTCGAAATTTACGAGTAGGCAAAAGGTCCTGGTCCTGGTCCTGGCCATATGGTCATCGGCGGCTCCTGCTCTCCTAGCTGCGGCACAGAGGCAGCGGCATATGTCAGAGGCAGTGGGTTGTGGTTTTCCACTGCGAGGATCTCCCACTCCCTCCCTCCCTCCTCTGGCCTGTGGGCCTTGTGGGAATACCAAAAATTCATAGACTCCGAAAGGTAATTCATCAAAAATTATAAAAATGCATTTGTTGCAGAATGAAGACAGGGGGGGAGAATGTGATATATGAGGGGGTTGATCTCAGATACGAGTCGGTTGAAAGTAGATCTTTGGCAGAGCAAGGGAGAGCGGTTGCTTGGAGAAATTATTTTGGTTACAAATTTCAATGGCTTCTGGGGCAAAAAAGATTAAGAAAAGGTTTCTAGAAATTGATTTAAAGTCGACCAGAAGAAAGAAATGAGCATATAGAAAGGATACAGAGAGGTATCATTCTATATATACAAGATCTCCGATAGGTTGTAGTCTATCATTAAAGAGTTCTATCATTGTTAGCGAAAGAAGATACAATTTTTTTCCGCGGGTAGAAACATTTTGGTTCCCACACAATGAGCAAAAGATCAAGAATATTATAGAATGCATTCGTTTTAGAATATCTCAGGAAAGTAAAGTAACAGAAAGGAAGAAAAATGTCTTAGGAAAAATTTGGACTTCATAATAAAAGCCCCAATGAAGAAAAGGCGAAAAATTGTGGATAGCAAATAAATACGAGAGGATCACCTAAATATATGACTTGGCCTTACTCTAAAAATTGTTGTCCTCTGTGTAGCAAGAATCCCCCCTCTATTGTCTTTAAATTATTCCGATATACTACCAAAGAATATGTGCCTCACATGCTGAAATGAATTTTCCTTATAAAATGGTTCTCCTTTACCGCAGAAATGAGTTCTTTTCCACCGTTTGCCCCACAAGTTCATCCATCAAGGGGTGCAACTCAATCAAAGTCCATAAAGTACGAGTGCTTGAACTTTAAACACTATTTAAAAGGCTTCGACAGCAGCAACACCAACAAATGCAACAATAGATACAACTGCAACTGCAACAGCAACAATTACAATTGCAACCTGCAACATGGCTAATTACAATTTCAGCCAGCAACAAACAGAACTTGCCGCAAGAACTGCAGCAAGAAGGAAGCATTGCAAAAGGAAAGCAGCTGCCGCAATCAATAATATGAGCACACACTCCCATATATATATATCTGTATCTGTAGATATATAACATATATATATGTGCAACATTAACAACAGAGAGAGAGAGAGAGAGAGCAGAGCATAAACAACAAGCTGATAATCAATAAAGCAAAAGCAGGACCTCATATATCCATAACAACCAACAAGTGGAACCCAACGGCGCGAGAGAGGTCCCTCGTCTATATAGGGGTAAAGAAAGGGGTGGCAGTGGTCTGTGGCAAGACGAACTTTAACTACTTGTGGCAAGGGCCAACAGCAACTCTCAGCAAATGGTTCGATGCATTGGCCTCCAATTATAAAGTGCACCTGAAGTGATTGCAGCGCAAGCAAGGAAAGCGGAGTATCAGATATTTCTAGATCATTCAGAAAATGATTCATAGAATTTATAGGATATTTCGATAGGAAAGGCAAATTTGAAGCTTGAATTGTAATTATAAACGCGCTCGTTACCCTTTCTTTTGCTGTGTTGAAGTCCCTGCAGACTTCTCGACTCTGCCAAAAACATAAACCTCCACTTAATTCGTTGCACCATCGACAGGCAGCCGCATAATTCGCTGTTCCTTGATAAAGAACAAACTCAAAAAACAATTACACTTTACTCTACTGCAGTTACTGCAAAAAAAAACACGAAAATGAAAATGAAAATGAAAAAAACAAAAGGTCCCCACCCTGCGGACTGCTGAGGACTGGGGACTCTGACACCGCGCGACTCTGACTCGCTCGACTGACGCAAAATTGTCACCTTGCCTCTCCCTGCTGCAATGCACACCTGCAATTATACGTGCGAGTGGCAGGTCCGAGAGGGGCTCCGCGATCTCACTCTCTATGGTGTTCTGTGCCCTGTTCCGGGCACCCCTCCATCATAGGAGTTTTTGCTTTTCGTATATATTTTTTTAATGCTTTTAATGAACTGATCAGAGAATGTGTGTTCCTCTGAGCTTCTGCTCTGTGTTTTACAACATTTTAATTGAGCCCATAAGTGCCACAGCAGAGGACAGCTGCCCTTCGGTATCTGCTACCCCTAAAAATAATTGCAACGCATGCAAATATTACGCATACGACGCATGGCTCTGGCCAACAATTTCAATAAATAAATTAAAAACTTGGTGAAGTTTGTGGCTATTCTTTATTGCAAAGTTATCTATTCAATTGAATTTTCTGCATTTAGAAAAAGTTTTTAATGCATTTCGAAAGGTATTTAAAATGAGATAGAATTGTAGGCAATATTGAAGCGGGAAGAGAATTTCTTTCTCTAGGAATTGGCACCTCTATTATTCAAATATTCCTACCATTTATCTATGAAAGATTGTGGAAACGGTAACTTTTTCCCCAGAATCTATGAAATATTACATTTAAATCCAATTCAAATGGAAAACATGTTTCCAATATATTTATTTTATATATATATTTTCAGACATGTTCTTTATATCCAAAAGTAAACATTTATTGGAAGATACATATATTTAAAGTAGTTATCATCTCCATTTACTAACTGATTTCTACTAAATGTACTTTTAATACCCGTTTTGTTACGGAAAAGATACATTCCTTAGCTCAAGTAGATCTTTTCATATGCTAATTTATCGCTCAACTCATCTATTCAATTTGGAATGTACATCTTCGCCTTTTCTGTAGCTCCACTCCACCTGTACTCCGTTCGAGGCCAAGGCAGGGCCGTATAGCTGATCAGTGGCTCATGATTATGGGTGTCGTACATCTAGTACTTCGTATCGAAGGAGCAAGCGGAGAAGGAGACGCCCAAAGACCCGCAAAGCGTGTGGGCGTGTCTGCAGTGGCAATTCCTGCACAATTTTAGCATAATGCGTGTGTTCTCATATATTTATATATGATGAAAAACACCATTCTTTCTTTCTTGGCTGCTGCTGCTGCTGCTGGGAGTTAAGTACACAAAATTATCAGAAATTAAATGTGCACCTTTTGGAGATTCCGATCTCCTCCAGCGAACAGGCAGCCCTGAGAGCCCTGAGAGCCCCGAGGGGGGGCTCAACATCATTATCATCATGATCATCATTATCATCTGGTGGAACTGTTTGTGGCTACTGTAATTTCACGCTACCCTGCCCCCGACATGCATAATGCAAATCAATTTGAAGAAATACTGAAGGAATACCTTGGACGTGGTAGGAGGATGGGAGATGAGGGCCCAAGGGCCAAAGTCAGGAGTCAAAAGTGATTTGTCAACGATTGCCCCAGAGATCATTAATAATCTCTGTATTGTAGAAAAAGAAAAAACCAGTAGCTGAAAGGTGGTCTGGGGAATACATGCGAGAGATTGATAGGGCCAGCCATTGAGCTCGTCAGCGGGTGGCGCCTCAAAAGGTGGCAAGTGGGTAAGTGGCAAGTGCAGCAACTCATTCGTATTGATTGAAATCTTTCACACACACACCACACACACACAGGCAAACAGCAGTCCCATGGAATACCGCCTCCCGCTGGGCGCTGGTCTTCAATCTGTTGTACGAATATCTGTATCTCAGTTACGAGTGTGTATCTTTCGGTTGGGGAATCGGTATCTGGTATCTGGTGACTCGAGGGGGGGACTCACCTTTTGCCGTTCCGTCGCCTCCGCTTGGTGGCGTAGACGGTGCCCAGCTGGCTCATCGCTAGGGCGGAGTTCGTTATGGTCGCCGTTGTGAATGATTTTTACTCTTCTGATTATTATTTTTCTTATATCAACTCTTAGCTCGCTCGCTCGCTCGCACGCTCACTGTTCTTTGCTCTTTTCTTTTCGTTTTTGTTGTAATTGGTTTTTATTTATTGATTTGGTCTGCTCTGGCCACACGGTTGATCCACCAGGCAGCCACCAGAAGCTTCTTCTGGCTGCGTTCGGATCCAGGGAGATCCTGCTGCTGCTGTTTCTGCTGCTGCTTCGATGTCGTTTTCGGTTTCGGCCACGGCTGCAGCCACGCGTAAATTTTGTTTCTTTCTTGCTGGTATTTTATTTTTAATTATCATCACGCTTACATTTTGTTTGCTTTTTCATCGCGCTGCCTTCTTTCCTCTTATTGCACTGGAGTTTCGAGCGGTTTCAATACTGCATGGAGAGGGGGAGGTGAATGGGAAATCTCGGATTTAGCCATTGAGAAAACACCGCTGGGTTGTTGGGGGCTTTGTGCTGGGGAAAGCCTTGGGATTGCCACTAAGCCTAGGCCTTTGTTTTGTCTTTGGGATTAGCTCTGAGAAAACTTCGATACGATTTTGTCCGTAAGCTCTAGAATCTCAGAGGGTGGATGCACCCTAACTTTATTGAATGTTAAACTATATTTAAGCGTTTTTATTTGATAACTTTGGGGTTCCTTGGAGAACTAATGATTGTAAGCAGCTTTATACATTTTACAACCCATTTAATTGTACAAAAATACTTAATTTATGTGCACAGCTTTATTGAAACTATAAAAGTCTGCTTTATGAGGCTAGAATAAATGTTTTAAACATTTTCCGAACTTTAAGTTTTTTAGAATGAAGTTTAACAATTTGAAAACTTTACTATTGCGCTGCTCTGAGAGAATTGAAGAAATAAATTATACAATTTATTAAATTATGATATGAAACAAGATAAGAGTCTACAATTCGGATATAATTTCCTTGAGATTTTGTTACTGAAGAGCGAAGAATAAATTTTTAAAACTTAGATTCAATCTGTAATCAGCAAAATTTATAGGAAGAAACTTTAAAGATTTCATTACGATTGAATTAAACTGTTGTAGAAGTTAAAAGTTGTAGAATCGAAGTCTTTTAACAATCGAAGGAGCAAATGGAAAAACAATATCTTTAGAATTTTAAGTTCATCAAGTTTAGGAAGGAATAGATTAGTAATCTTCATTCACTTTTGCATTGTACTAGTTTCGATTTATGTAATTTAAACGCGAATATTTCGAATTTACTCGATAATACTAGTTATTCATTGATTCAAAAACAGATCCAAAATTCTTTGATAAAACCCAAATTTCCTATTGGAAAACAATCAAAAAAGATAAATTCCATAAAAAGTTTCCTATATTTTCCGAATGAGAAATACAAAGATAATCAGCACAAAGCCTTGCAATGTTTCCCCATACGATGTTCCCCCAATTTCTCAATGGCTTTTCAAATTTCAATTTTGCCGATTATTTTGATTTTGTTTTGATTATTGCGGTTCCTTTTGCGTGTGCTGGGGGTTCTTTGTTTGTGTTCTTGCATGGGGCCACACTTTTGCTTTTTTCACTTGCACTTGCAACACTCTCATGAGTTGGTTGTTGTTGCTGTTGTAATTGTGGTTTGGGCTTTGGGTTTATCAATGACGATGACGACGCATGCAACAAACAGCAAAAAATCAAAATCGACACGGAACCATAAACGCTAACGCAAGAACGGCACGCAAATCATTTGAAGCACGATCGACGATGCTTGCCGGTAGCTGGAGTTGCTGCTGCCACTGGTGGCGCCACAGGCAGAGGCAAGTTGTCAAAGTGACATTTGTCTGGCCTTGCCCCAACACGCACACCCACACGCGTGGGCGGAGTGGAATGACCGACGGCAGTCTGCACTTGCACTTTGTCTCTCTTTCGGGTCGGGTCTCTTTTTAATTTACAATTCTTCTTGTTCTTGTTCTTCTTCTGTATCCTCTTCTTCTTCTAATTCTTGTTCTCCTCTCTTTCGGTGCTACAGGGTATGTATCGCGTGACAGGGTATGCTGCGTTTTGGTCTCCGTTTCACTTTTACACTTGCACACACGGACACACACATGCACTCGGATCACAGGCACGCACCTTTTCCGACGGGGACGGCGACAGGCACGGGCTTTGAAGAACCGTTAGTTTTGAGCAGCAGCGGTCGGACTGCACGCGAGCGCCAGAATGAACTTTTGAACTGTTATAATTTTTTTCTTGACGCGCGCAACACAGAGACCCGCGCTGGTCGAATGTTGAAAACCGAATGGCAGACATGTTGAGACATGCACAGACATGCATCGAGACTTCGGCTCTGGCGTTCGGCTGCTGATGCGAGCCGAACATCTTTGCATGTGTTAGTATAATATGTGGATACCCTCTGAAATTTGCCGAAATATATGGTTATATACCGTAAATAGCTAGCCGCAGTCGTTTGAAATGAAACACAAACGTTGTTGGCAGCGCAGAAGCGCCGACGGCTTTGTTTGACCGTCCGTTTTGGGGCGCGACCCTCTATCTACCGTCTGTTGTTTGCCGAAAAACTATTGCGCTCTCCCTCTCCCTTTCCTGCTGGCTCCCACTCACAGTATGTTTCTCTCTCTCGCGATTTTCTTTTTGGCCGCGAGACGACTACGGCCACGTAAACGCTGAAACTGAAATACGATATTGGAAACGTGTGGAAAAAACCAGTCCTGATGGAACGAAACGGCGAAACTTGAACACATGTTGTGGCTTCCAGTCGTCCTGGCAACGTGATCGTTAACGGCAATGCAACAGCGAAAGATAGAGCGAGAGAGAGCGCAGTGTTCCACAGTGCCAGCGTTCCTTTGTGCAACGTCATGCCTGCGCCTGTGTGAGTAACTGGAAAGTCACTGACAAAGAGGAAGGGAGTGAGAGAGAGAGAGAGCACAACGACAACCAACCGAGGCAAGCACCACCGACAATTATGGAAGTATTCAAGCTATCTCGCTCCCACCGCATTGTGCTCATTATTGACGGGGGCGTGTTTGCTGTTCTCACTCTGTGAGAGCAGCTATTGCCAGCTCTTTCGTGCCTGCAGAACGACACGATTTCTGTGCTCTCGTCGTTCATCTGTTAATTAATTAGGCGGTAATTAAGAGTTATCTTTGAAAAGACTATCATTCAATGGCATCTCTGGTTCTCGTTCTCCCTTTCTGGTTCAGAGTTATCACTGAATTTGGTTTGCAGTTTTCTTTGTTCTTTTCCTTTTGGAAAATGCAAATTTTATTTGGTGTGACCAAAGCCATTAAAGCCATAAACATGAGCACTCAGTTTGGGGCTTATCGCGAATGATTTATTCGTTTGTGCCACATGACAGGAGCACCACCAGCAACAACAACAACTACAACATGAAGTATGAAATGTACACCACAAAATTCTATAGCATCAGAAGAAAAACATATATCTAGGCAGTCAAAATGTCGGCACTCAAGAAGGCACTAAGTCTTGGCCATATGTTCTTGGCCCAACCGCATGTCATTTGCCGCAGGTCTGCCATTTTGGTGGGGGAAGCCGGACGGGGGCCTCCTTCGGTTCTTTGTGACGTCAGAGGTGGAGAATCGGAGAATGGAGAATGGAGTTGCACTGTCAATTACATTGCGTGCAGGTATTCAATGCAAAGTCAAAGAGAAACCAAATGTTTATCTAGCCACTGGATGGAGGAGTCTGATGCCTGTCCAATGCGCAAAAAGGAAGGACAGGAAGAACAAAAGGTAGAGAAGCAGCAAAGAGACAAGAACAATGACTAAAAAGGATGTAATATAAAATCTAGTTTCAAGGGTCGAAGTTTCTGATACCCTTTGCATTCCGATTGTTTCAGCTCCAGTTATGGTTATTCGATTTTGATTGAAATTAGGTACAAAATAAGTGCCGAAGTGCCTAACGCTCACTATTCTATAGTAGTAGGGGAGTAGCGAACAGGATATACATAAGAAAAGAGAGCACACAAAACAGAAGGCAACGCATGTCAATTCCTGGCACTAATAAGTAAGTGGAGAGCTCAACCAGTTTCCTCTTTCAGCCGATTACCCCCCCAACCCACCGCCACTGCTCGTTTTTGATCTTCGAGTAGCTTATCAATTTACGCTTCAACTTCGGGGACAGGCAGCAGCGGCAGAGGAGCGAGCAGCGTATCAAAGAAGAAGCATGAGCAGAGCAGCGCTGCAGCAGAGGGTTAGGATGTACACAATGCAGGTGCTTTTCCATCCTCCTTGCTCTTCGCTTTGCACTTGTTCTCCTCTCTCTGTCGTCGCTTGTGTGGAATTACTCTTAAGTACTGGCGAAACGAGTCAGCAGCGAATGGCCTCCTACTCTCGGTAACTCTCGTCTGTAAAGGGTGCTGCAATGTAGCTGCTACCTCGTTTAGCCAGTGCTGAAGTCTTGATGTTGCTGCTGGCGCTCTCGCATATCAATTTCGCGATGACGTCCTTCCCTTGCGCCTGATGAGGAATTATGTGTGTTTTGTGTAAGTTTTTGCCGCGATCCCTTAATGCGACCCCAGTTTGCCTAATTTCGTAACAAGTTTCTTATTAACTCGTTTTTCTTACTCGTTGGCTTTTGAGCAGCAGCTGCCTGGTCACATCAATGTCACTGCTGATCACATCTAGACAAGCACTCTATATGGAATGGGATCTATATAATTTGCCAATTAAGCCGGGTCCTAACCCTTCCCGATGGCCAGTCAAAGACTGACAACATTAGGAGGGCTACAAAAACGCGACAAAAAAGGAGAAACAAATAAAGTAAAAATTCTACAAAAAAAGTACGAGTATACGGAATCCCATAATGCTTTTCCACCCATAATGTTTACGCCGATATCCATTGACGGCGCCAATTAAATATAATTATTCTATGTGCACTAAGCAACAAAAACTGGGAGCTGGAACAAGGCACAGCCATAATGGATAACAAAAAGTAAACAGAGTGCAATCTGTGGATACTCTGGCTTCCACCGAGTAAAGTAATGGGTGTTTGAGGCTGATGGGAAGACTTGAAACAGGCAGAGGGACAGAGGAAGAATTCTATAAGAATAATAAGA